GTCGCTTTCTTATATTCGTGATAAGCTGTCTTCTATGATTTGCTTCAGCCAAGACTTCTTCATTTGTTTTTCTAGCTGTCCATGGGATACGCAGCATGCGTCTTATGAACCACAACTCTGTCGCCACAATTGTTCTTTCCAGCTGTTTACTGATTGTCCACGCTTCGCACCCGTATAATGCTATACAGTAGAGTAAGAAAAGAGTTGTTGTTGATGCTGCTGATGCTATTGTTGTTGTTGTTGTTGCTGTTGTTTTTGTTGTTGTTGTTGATGATGTTGCTGTTGTTGTTAATAAAGACAGTATCGTGGAATAGGAAAAGGTGGTTATTATTGATTTTTCATATTTTTGTTAATTTTTTCTTTTTCTCTTCTTTTCATATAATTTCAGATTTCTGTATCCGGTGACAGTGTAGATCTGCGTAAGGACCACCCAACTCTTCGGTGGCGTTTTAATTAACGGAAAAAACACCCTACGGCTCAGTCTACAGGACCAGGCAACTTTCCCGAACATTCTTTCATTTCACAAGGGACCAAAGGGTTCTAGTTGCTTTGTGATACGACTTTCATCCTGCCTTCAGCGATCAGCTAATTAGGCTAGCAGACGAAGGAAAACCCGAATCCGGCTCGATTTTCATCGCTCTAAGGCGGGAAAAAGTATTTTAAGAGTGAAAAGCGAACTGGTTATTTTTAGCACTTTTACAGGGGATTATAAAGAAGGAAAAATAACTCTTGTTCAATCAAGTAAGGTTTGAGCAAGGTTCTAATTGTCTGCCCCTTAGCCGTTCGACGACGAGTACGAGTGCTCTCCCCTCCGCCCCTTTCTACGTTACCCTAGCAACCAGAGGAAGCCGCCGCCATGACGACCTGTTGCTCCGTGCTGGGTCTCATCTTCCTGGTCATCACTAACCTGACCATCATCATCGCCTTTGCCACGCCCTATTGGGTCGAGTTTGGCTCTGGCAGCAGCAACCAGGGACTGTGGGCCTATTGCAGGTCAGACCAGTGCACCTGGGTCTTTGAGGATCACTACAAGATCCTCTCTCCCATGAAGGTCAGCGAAGGTGAGTTATGCTGTCCCCGTCGTTTTATGCTAGAAAAATTCTGAAATTATGCAAACTGAGCCCAAATGTGTGAGATTATGCGATTCTGTTAATTTTACCAAAGAGTGATAAAGGAATATAATCAGAAATGATGCAAAAAATTATCAAATTTTGCTAAATTATGCTGGGTGCATATCTATCTATCTATCTATCTATCTATCTATCTATCTATCTATCTATCTATCTATCTATCTGTCT